ACGCTGTCTAATGCATGCGCTTACGTCCTACGATCAGTGAAGATCGATAAAGCCGATTCCGATGTCAGTGAATATTCGTCATCTCATTGGGTGTAAAATGAGGGAGGGGAGGGGGGAGCGCAGCGATGCGAGCGTTGATTGATGATAAACTTCACTGGGTTGGGGACTCGAGCATGCGGCATCTCATTGGCTGACTCAGGTGTTTATTCATTTTGGTTTGGCAAAGATTTTTAGGACAGGGGAATAGGATCCCCCTCCGCCTATAACACACGATTTTACCATAAATCATATTGTGCTCACTGGAATGAATTTTTATATTTGCTGACGTCTCGGACAGCTGTCCTTTGTCAAAGCGTGAACTGAATTTATCGATCAGCAATAAAAAGTCGTGGCTGTACGTGTTGGCCGTGAACTGATCGATTTTTCTCCGTTCGCTGCTTGGCCCTGCGTGTGGATTTTGGCATAACTTGACGGCAGTTAGTGTTGTGATTCGTCCCCACGGTAGAAGATGCTGGTAATCCTGTTCACTCTTCCGGTAGTTTCGTCACAAGGCCGTCTTTATTTGCAAAGCCAAATTTCGGTTTGACCTTGTCCTGTCCTTTGTTCACGTAATGGCGTAGGACTTTGTAGGCCGCGGGAAGGTCCAGATGCTTGTTGAAGGAGTTGGCGTCTGAGTGCCTTGCCTCAGGCATCAGTCTTTCTGTTTTTGAGGTCCCTTAACCTACGAGTGTCGCTGCTTGAATATCGAAGTTGTGGCCAGTTTCTCCGATATGTGTCGCTAGCTGCGAGTTTGGGTCTAGTCTCCTGGCCGCTTTGACAAAGGACAGCTGGTCCAGCTGTCCGAAACGTCGGCGAACATAAAAGCTAATTCCGGTGAGCTCAGGGTGATCTAGGATTCTAATCCCGGAATTCCGACTCTTTCAAACTTGAACACGATTTTACACTAAATTTCAGCGAGCTTAAGGGTAACTTTATGGTTGTTATTAAGGTTAGGGTTGGGTTGGCATGAAGCTTAAGATTAAATCATATAGTGGAAGGCAGGTATCCCAAGAAATGTTCTTTCAAGGAAAGGCGTCCTTTGGGAAAATGAGTAAATTTTTTCAGAAATTTTCGACAATGGATCCCCAGGTCCTCGTCAGTCTTGAAAAAAAATGTGCAAAGAACAGTTCCCGTAAGGGGTTCCAGTACTTTGTCAAGGGATGACATTTGCTTCTTGGTAGGGTCTGTGGGAAGAGGCTTATAGGTTGAGCTATCTTTTAATAGTGACAATATTTTCTGCTTTTAGTCTGATTTGTTCAAGAAAGCAGTTGAGCCTCCTTTGTCGGCGGGAACTATGATTATATTTTCATCAGTTTTTAAATTCTTAAGTGCTTTCTTCGTTTCAGAGGATAGAGATGAAAATTGATTCCGATCCTTTAAGGCATGGACAGCACTTCTTCGAATTGTAAACCGATCATAGTCGCCGAGGTTTCCTGTTAATAGGATAGACTCCAAGCTGGCTAGGAAATCAAAGTAATTAGAATCAGAATGGTTGTATTTGATCTTTTTGGAAAGCACGTTCTCCTCCGTTGCAATGAGGGCGCTGGAAGACAGGTTCATAACTTTTGCTACAGACTGTTGGTTTGTAACAGCTGGCTGAGAAACAGTCTTCCATTTCTTGTCTAGAAGCACCTTCTTCTTTCGTCTTTCCAGTTCTGATACATAGGCAGTTTTTTCACCTAGGGATTCAAATAAATGTAGGGGAAGGTTATTGCGGCAGACCTGCATATGTTGTTCTTTTGCAGAATGGAACTTTTGCAATCGATAATGGGCACCCGTTTTAAATGCTCCAAGCATGCTTTTTCCATAACGAAATGCGATCTGATAGCCTAGGGTAGATTTGGAATGGGACAGTCCGCACTCGCATGATCGTATCGCGAGGATATC